TCAAGGAAAGGGAGAACAAAAAATTCAACATGAGGATGGACTTCTCAATCTTCCTAGAGTTGGTAAGGTCAAAGAAAAGAAGGTACATCCTGTACACCCTGTTTTTATTTGTCATCATTGTGGTTTGGCTAGTCATGTTCGCCCTTATTGTTATGAGTTGCATGGGAGAATGTCTCATAGAGATGGAAGAAATTCCAACATCTCGTTGGGTAAGGGACTTCATTGGTGGTAATGAGGTTAAGGGTCATATTAGACCTTGTTATTTTGATTTGCTTGAGACCAAACATGGAGCGAGTTTGTATTTGCCTAGACCTAGAAATGGGAAGTTGGAAACCATGTCGAGACAGGTTCCCATTGAAAGGGAAGGGAACCCCACAATGTCAAGACACCACCCAAGAACCGTCATTCTCACAACTTTGTTCATACTAAAACAATTTGGGTGAGAAAACTTGACTTGTGTTAATTTGTTTCTTAGTTTTAGTTTTTGGGTTTCTGTATGTTTTTTTTTAGTCATTTAGTGTGTGCGTGTTCGCTCTCTGACTTGCTTTGTTTAGGAAAAAAAAAATGTGTGCATGTTCGTTTTATGTCTTGCTTTAGAAAAAGAAAAAAAATTCTCAAAAAGATTTTCTTAGTATGGTTTTGCAAGCTTGAAATTTTTGAGTTGTCCTTGGTGCATATTGGAATTGATGAGAATATCCATTACATGTTAATATATGTGTGCTTTCTATGGTCATTACTCATTTCAGAGTGTGTGTTCTTTCATTAGTATGTCTCATTTTGTACACACTCTTGGATTAGCAAATTTTGGAGTCTTCCGCCTTAGTGATCATTTTTCTCTATGGACTTCTGGCATTATATCTTTTGCTTTTCTAGAGGAATTGACCTATACTAGAACATCATGGGTGATGTTGAGTCTCTTAGCCACCTTCCATCTTTTTGCATCTCCATGACTTTCCCCTCTATTCTTTGTAATCCAGCCATAAGGAAAAGACCACCTCAGAGTCACCAACCAGGCTATCTTTATTATATCCATGCTTCTCTGGTTCGGTTTCTATATTCTTGAGCGTGTTAGCCACCAATGAGTGTGCACAAGAAAAAGAAAAATAAAAAGAAAAATAAAAAAAGAAGAAAAAAAAAATGTGCAGAAGAAAGGAAGAAAAAAAGAAGAAGAATAGATTCATTGATTGAGGGGGAGCCTCCGCTATTACTCAACAAATACCCCTTGATTCCTAGTGGTTTGACTTTCCTAAGTTGTGCTTAGATTCTCTTGTCAGAGGTCCAGCTTACTAGGATTTGAATCTAGTGTTTGTCGATCTCCAAGAGTCACACACCCACTTTTCTCATGGGATCTATGCTTTTCACATAATGCATCACTTTCTTTTATGAGGAATTTTCTAGAAGCTGTGCACATTGTGTTTTCAAGTGATTGTGCTTCTTGGATAGTCTTGTGTGTTTTAAGGTACAAATCTGAAATTTCCTGCTTGCTCCACCATATTATTTTTGTCGTTTTCTTCTTGTTCATTTTTTTTAATTTGTGTGTTGCTATCCACTACTTGTTTATTGCTTACATCTCGAAGGTTATTAATTTTTCCATCATCTTGTCCCTGTTTGTGTGGTGTTTGATCTTGCTTTAGTTGATTGAGGTTCCTTTGTCAATTCATGACAAAAAGGGGGAGAAAGTTGTTGTTTATGTTTTCATGCATATGTGTCGTAGTTTGATTTCATCCATTCATGTGTCGGGTGCATGTGTCTTAGTTTTCATGTTTTCATGCTACATGTTCTTAAGATCTCTAATTTCCTTCTATTCATTTTTTTATCTCATGCTTCAAGGTAATCTAGTCATGTGTTTATTGTTTTTTCATATACTCTTATGGCACTAATAGTTGTTTTGGAAATTGTGGCACTAATAGCTGTTTTGCAGGTCATGACCTTGAGAAAGAAGTTTGTGTTTGTTGGCTGTATTGGGTTGGGGTGATTAGGATTTTATTTGTTAGGTATGTTTTGTCACGGCATTGCCAAAGGGGGAGATTGTTAGGTTTTTATTCTTGGCAACCCCGTTTTACAAAACTCCTTTCAGTTGTATTTATTTTTGCACTTTTTTATTTCAGTGAGGCTATGAGTTTTTAGATGCGAATCCAACCCGAATTGTGCCTTGCAGAGAAGTTTTGTGATGTTAATTCTTTCAAGATTGCCACTTCGCTGATTATGACGGGGATTGAGCTGCCTGGTCAGCTCGCGGGGGTCCAGGGGGCAGCGCCCCTTGACGGGTCCAGGGCAGCGCCCCCGAAGCAAAATGCAAAAATACATTCAAAGTTGCATGTCCGCTCAAGAGGACATTCCCCTGCTCGAGTGGAGATTGGTGAGTTCCAGAAGTATGCGTGCCTGCAAAAATACTCTGATCCGTGTTTTCACGCTCAAGCGTCGAAATCCCCGCTTGAGCGCACATCCTGGTTTGGAACACGTCATATAGTGTCCCCGCTCGAGCATCCATTCCCACGCTCAAGCGGACCTTGCGATTTCAGATTCTATAAATTTGCATGTTGCTCCAAATCTAAGGTTACGCCTCCAAATCTTCTTCTTGGGTTCTAGGGTTTATATCTGGGGCTATTTTGCTAGTTTTCTTTGATGTTTCATTGAGTATTCAACTCATGGTTTAAGGAGGATACATCAAAGGATTGTTTGTTTGTTCTATACAAAAGAGAGAGTTATTCTTTGGTGGATTCTGAAGAATTCGAGCTTGAAGTTTTGGTGGATTCTGGAGTGGCTCATCGTCAAGACAATTCCGAGGTGAAGACGGGGCTGGAAGAGGCACATAGGGTTGGTTCAATTCGGGCGTGAATTCACTAGGTAATTGAGAGTATACCTGTGTAATTCTTTTATATCTTCTTAGTGGATTGTTTTATGGCTGTTGCCCGTGGTTTTTTTTTATCACAATTGGAGGTGCTCCAATTGTGGTTTTTCCACGTTAAAATCGTTGTGTCGATTTGTCTTGATTGTTTGATTGGGATTGTTTTATTGCTTGAAATTGATACATAATCACAAATCAATATCTAGCGGATTTCTAGATTTTTCACATATAAATTTCGCAATTCAACTTCAATTTCAAGGCCCGAAACTTCTTCAAAAACACTTTGAATTCACAATTTCCAAGTTCAAACAAAAATCATGAGTTTAAAACAACCTCAAATTGCCATGAAGAAATCAAACCCTCACTTTATTATGTACATGTATCTAAATGTATAAAACATACAAGTGTGTCCTCTAAAACTCAAGCTTCCATGGAATTCCCTCTCAATTGAAGACCCATGCAAGAATTCAAATGGATAAAAACAAATTTCCATAAAAATCATGCCATGCATGTAGAATTTGGGAGCTAAAACACTCATTCTTCATATATGAACTCATGCATGTAACAAGCTTTTCATTACACGAACCCACTTCAAATAAGTTCATATTTTCTTGCCTAATCTTAAATTCTTTAACTTAAGGGCATAATTCTTCAACTACATTCTAATTCATGAAATTAAGGAGAAGAATCCTTACCAAAAGGGAGTGAATTGTGAGGGGTAGAGTGTAGCAGCAATGGTTTCTTCACTTCACCTTCTTTTCTTCTTTCTTCCTGGGTTGAGTTTACACTCTCAAGTCTCTCTTCCTCTGTCTCTACGTGTATAGCGTGAAGCCATCCAATAAGACCCACTAGCTATCTCATCTAATTTCATTTGATGAGTATGAAAGACACTAGGCTCAAATTAAATAGATTAATAAATTAAGTAAAATTACCTAAGGCTAAGAGATTAATTAAGATTAATTTGACTCAAAGTAAATTAGTCTCAACATCTTAAAATCTTAATTACACTCAATTAAATTATACTCATGTGTATTAAGCTCTAATTCCTATTCAATTATTTAATTCCAACCTATTAAAATTAGCAATGTGAGGCTTTGGAAAGGCTAAATTAAATTATACTCATGTGTATTAAGCTCTAATTGCATTTGTAACATAGCATAGTTTCATTCTTCCTGACACTTCATTTAAATCAAGAGATTAGAGTGAAGCAACTAATTTTAGGACTATGCATATTTATTATACTTCTTAATTGTTAATTGAAGTCCCTATGTGACCATCCGGTACATTTTCTGAGAAGATCTTGATCTAAAATTTCAATTGAGATGAATTTGTCCCATTTGCATGCTTTGTTACAAGTTCACAATCTCTTATTTCAGGGAGATTGTGGTGCAGTTCAATGCTGATGTGGCTGATGGAATGCAATGGAACCTATTGGTTATGTGCCGGTGTTGGTGGATGAGGACATTGTGCTTTCTGACACTTTTGCAATCTTAATGGTGAGTGGTTGGACCTTTATTGTCTTCACCCCATTGGATTTGATTTTATTAAAAAATTTCAATGTTTCTAACATGTGCTTAGTAATTTGCAGTATTTGGAAGAGAAGTATCCTCAACATCCATTGTTGCCTCGTGATCTTCAAAGAAGAGGCATCAACTACCAGGTATAATGCATGTAATCTCTTATTTTCTTGATCAATTGATATGAGTTGTTTATTATTTACAACATCTTGTAGCTCTTTTCCATTCACCAGTATCATATTTATTTGATTCAATGTGTTTGAACCTAAGCATCTCTGGAAAGGCTAGTATTTCACTGCTTGCATAATTTTTATGTTGTCATATTTTCTACGAGTTCACACTAAAATTAGCACACTTTATTTAAACCAAATATAGTTACAACTAATATTAGCAAACTTTATTCAAACCGAATATAGTAACAAATCAATTTTTATGAGGAATAAGCTAGAAAATTCAGGCCTGGTGAAGAAACGCTAGTTGACTTAAAATTGATTATGTGACAACAGAGTTAACATTATATTGTTATGGAGTTGTACTATATGCATCTTATTACTCTCACAGTTGAAGGTGTTTAAACCAGGAAAATTTAATTAAAATATCCTACAAATGTTGGGTTGCTATATTGCTTGATGAAGGTCTTGTCAATTATATGGAGGTGATTACTATCTTGGTATTGGTCAATGACATGCCTAAAGAGTCATATACACATCATAAGCTCAAATGTTCTCTTCACAAGCCCACTCATTTTTTAGCAAATTTGGTTGAATTGGGCTAACCAGCATGTACACATGTTAGTTGCTTCAAATGCTAATAGCCTCTCTTTATATAAATCATAATAAGGGTAGAAATCTGAGGAAGAAACTCGCGTTCAAACAAGTGACTGAAAGGCCCATGGCCTATATCATGCAAGAGTCCTGGAATTGAAGAAATAGCTTAATAAAACATCAGATAACTCAAAAACAAAACAAACAAACAAAAAATGAAGCACCGTGTGGAATATAAAGTTGGTTACCTGCAAGTTTCACTGTTTGTATATCAAAGTGGTCAATACCAAGCTCCATCCGCTGCAAAAATGGAAAAAATGTAAAATATAAAATCCCCAAGAATTTAAGTTGTGCAATTAAATTAGCAGAGTATGCAGATTCCATACTTGGTGAGTTTTAAGCTTGTGAGCAGCCTCACCAGCAAGCCAATACACTCCAAGAGAATGTTCAAACCTAGAATGCACAGCCCCTGGATAAACCATGTGTGCCATCCCTGAAAATACAGAAAAGCTAGTTTCAAAAACACATTTAACACTGTCCCAGAATTTCAACAAGTGGTGATCTTTCAAACCTAGAATGCAGTAATGCACTCATGGTCTTTGTACTGATAAAATAAGAAGTGCTACAAAAGCCATCCAGAAGCACATCTCTTTTCTGCAATGCACAAACTAGTGTATTGATCATATTCCTAAGATACAAACCAGATTTAATAAAAATAATAATCAACAAGTAGCCAAAGGCATGCACACAAGCAGACACACAGACAGAAACTAGTACATTGATCTTCCACTTAGATTTATTTCAATTCATTTCATGTTAGAACTTGAAAATTGCTATAACTCCACCACACAAGACAACCAAAATCCGTAATCCATCTTCGTTTCATGCATATGTTGTCACAGAACCAGATTATGCTTCCTATATTATATACTGAACCATCTGTAATAAATTATCTTTGAGCATATACTCTGAAACCTATTTGGCTCATAATCTATTCCACTGAGAGCTCCTAAACACAGAAATAAATTCAAAGTTCTGGCTAAATTCTTCATACTTCATGTGAAATACACAATGTACAAGATACTATTCAAAAGAAAAATCAAATATATATTTTGAACTTTGATTAATCTGAAAACTATTCTTAATAATATAGGTTCTAATGCAAAAGAGAGGCGATGAACTCACCGAGTTGTTTAAGATCACGAAGTCTGAAATATGAAAATAAAATGAAAGGATTAATGACCACGCATAAACTCATACAACTAGGATAAGCACAAAACAGCCATACACAGCAATAATAAACCAAGCCAAAAGGCACCATAGAAAATCAACTTGCCTTTGAAACTCTTCAGTATCTATGAACTTCAGAAAGATCTGCAGCCATAGAAGCAAACAGAAATCAAATTGTATTACCTTTGCTCTAACAAAATTTAAGCTACAATCTGAAATATACACCTAATAGGTTCTCCTCTGAAGTTAACTGCAGTAAGTAAGATAGATTAAATGGATTATTAGAACACATAAACACCAACTAGTGTACTGAGACTTACAATCAACTGTATAGTACTTGTAAATTGTAACCCAAAATATTGACAATTTATATGTTTTTATCCTATAAATGAATAGAAAAATAACCATAACATTGACATCAGAGTCACAAATGTGTTTCCTAAATAAAATGTTAAAATTCATTAGGTTGAATTATTTCACTTTTCAGAGTTAGCTAACTTCTCCTTCTATTCATAACTTCCATTTTTATTGAATATGAACTGGTTAAAATCCCATCCATTGCAAAATAAACGCACATCCATTATAATTTGAATCCATTTTTTATTGAATATGAACTGATTGAAATCCTATCCATTTGAAAATAAACACACATCAATGTTAATTTGAATCCTATTCATTAGGTTTAATTATTTCACTTTTCAAAGTTGTCCGAGAGCTAACTTCTCTTCCTATCCGTAACCTCCATTTTTATTGAATATGAACTGATTCAAATCCTATCCATTTCAAACTACATACACATCAATTTGTATTTGAATCCACCACAAATCAAATAATTTAAGAATTTTGATTAAAATTTGACAACAATGTGATACATATATGTACGTATATCTGTGAGAGAATTATCAGAAAGCGAAGCTGAGAGAGAGAGAGAGAGAGAGAGAATGTAACCGGATCGAGATAAATGTTGCCATGGACGTTGTCATGGACGTGCTTGCAGAATCTGAGATCACGGGAGGAGGGGGAAGTGTAATTCGGAGAGAAAGTGAGGTCGTCGTTGCAATAAGCTCCCATGCTCTGCTTCTTCAGTTCAAACCTCACAAAACACACAGATAAAAATTCAGAACTGGTGGTGCCTCAAAATTGAAATGCCTACTGTACATGTATATATGTATATGTATAGATATATGTGTTCCTGAAGGGAAATTGGAGAGAGAGAGAGAGAGATACCGTTGGAGAAGACAGAGATGAGAAAGAGAGTCGGGATGTGGAGGAGTGTGGTGAAGTGAAGCGAAGCTGCCAAAAATATTTTATTTAGCGTTGGAAGCCAGCAGTGAGAAGACAGAGATGAGAAAGAGAGTCGGGATGTGGAGGAGTGTGGTGAAGTGAAGCGAAGCTGCCAAAAATATTTTATTTAGCGTTGGAAGCCAGCAGTGAGAAGACAGAGATGAGAAAGAGAGTCGGGATGTGGAGGAGTGTGGTGAAGTGAAGCGAAGCTGCCAAAAATATTTTATTTAGCGTTGGAAGCCAGCAGTGAGAAGACAGAGATGAGAAAGAGAGTCGGGATGTGGAGGAGTGTGGTGAAGTGAAGCGAAGCTGCCAAAAATATTTTATTTAGCGTTGGAAGCCAGCAGTGAGAAGACAGAGATGAGAAAGAGAGTCGGGATGTGGAGGAGTGTGGTGAAGTGAAGCGAAGCTGCCAAAAATATTTTATTTAGCGTTGGAAGCCAGCAGTGAGAAGACAGAGATGAGAAAGAGAGTCGGGATGTGGAGGAGTGTGGTGAAGTGAAGCGAAGCTGCCAAAAATATTTTATTTAGCGTTGGAAGCCAGCAGTGAGAAGACAGAGATGAGAAAGAGAGTCGGGATGTGGAGGAGTGTGGTGAAGTGAAGCGAAGCTGCCAAAAATATTTTATTTAGCGTTGGAAGCCAGCAGTGAGAAGACAGAGATGAGAAAGAGAGTCGGGATGTGGAGGAGTGTGGTGAAGTGAAGCGAAGCTGCCAAAAATATTTTATTTAGCGTTGGAAGCCAGCAGTGAGAAGACAGAGATGAGAAAGAGAGTCGGGATGTGGAGGAGTGTGGTGAAGTGAAGCGAAGCTGCCAAAAATATTTTATTTAGCGTTGGAAGCCAGCAGTGAGAAGACAGAGATGAGAAAGAGAGTCGGGATGTGGAGGAGTGTGGTGAAGTGAAGCGAAGCTGCCAAAAATATTTTATTTAGCGTTGGAAGCCAGCAGTGAGAAGACAGAGATGAGAAAGAGAGTCGGGAGTGTGGTGAAGTGAAGCGAAGCTGCCAAAAATATTTTATTTAGCGTTGGAAGCCAGCAGTGAGAAGACAGAGATGAGAAAGAGAGTCGGGAGTGTGGTGAAGTGAAGCGAAGCTGCCAAAAATATTTTATTTAGCGTTGGAAGCCAGCAGTGAGAAGACAGAGATGAGAAAGAGAGTCGGGAGTGTGGTGAAGTGAAGCGAAGCTGCCAAAAATATTTTATTTAGCGTTGGAAGCCAGCAGTGAGAAGACAGAGATGAGAAAGAGAGTCGGGAGTGTGGTGAAGTGAAGCGAAGCTGCCAAAAATATTTTATTTAGCGTTGGAAGCCAGCAGTGAGAAGACAGAGATGAGAAAGAGAGTCGGGAGTGTGGTGAAGTGAAGCGAAGCTGCCAAAAATATTTTATTTAGCGTTGGAAGCCAGCAGTGAGAAGACAGAGATGAGAAAGAGAGTCGGGAGTGTGGTGAAGTGAAGCGAAGCTGCCAAAAATATTTTATTTAGCGTTGGAAGCCAGCAGTGAGAAGACAGAGATGAGAAAGAGAGTCGGGAGTGTGGTGAAGTGAAGCGAAGCTGCCAAAAATATTTTATTTAGCGTTGGAAGCCAGCAGTGAGAAGACAGAGATGAGAAAGAGAGTCGGGAGTGTGGTGAAGTGAAGCGAAGCTGCCAAAAATATTTTATTTAGCGTTGGAAGCCAGCAGTGAGAAGACAGAGATGAGAAAGAGAGTCGGGAGTGTGGTGAAGTGAAGCGAAGCTGCCAAAAATATTTTATTTAGCGTTGGAAGCCAGCAGTGAGAAGACAGAGATGAGAAAGAGAGTCGGGAGTGTGGTGAAGTGAAGCGAAGCTGCCAAAAATATTTTATTTAGCGTTGGAAGCCAGCAGTGAGAAGACAGAGATGAGAAAGAGAGTCGGGAGTGTGGTGAAGTGAAGCGAAGCTGCCAAAAATATTTTATTTAGCGTTGGAAGCCAGCAGTGAGAAGACAGAGATGAGAAAGAGAGTCGGGAGTGTGGTGAAGTGAAGCGAAGCTGCCAAAAATATTTTATTTAGCGTTGGAAGCCAGCAGTGAGAAGACAGAGATGAGAAAGAGAGTCGGGAGTGTGGTGAAGTGAAGCGAAGCTGCCAAAAATATTTTATTTAGCGTTGGAAGCCAGCAGTGAGAAGACAGAGATGAGAAAGAGAGTCGGGAGTGTGGTGAAGTGAAGCGAAGCTGCCAAAAATATTTTATTTAGCGTTGGAAGCCAGCAGTGAGCAGAGACACAGGAATATTTGTGCTATTGTAGGGTTTGTGTCTGGACTTCGGAGCGGAACGCGCACCGTGAATTGATTTGGTATTAATTGGCTCAAAACTTCTTGGAGCACTAACCCTAAAATGCAAAACACATTTTTAATGTTTTTTTTTTTTTTTCAAGAGTAAATTATAAATATATTTTTTGAGATTTGATTAAAATGAGAATTGTCCTTTATAATTTTGAAAATTACATTTCATTTTCTGAGGTTTTTAATTTCATAACAAATCGTCTCTTTTATTAATAAATTATTGTGGGGATATATTTTCTGAGTGCCTAATACTTGACTAGCTTCCTGCTGCCATCTTTCTTCAACTTGAACACCCATTTGTTCTGCAATGCTTTTCGACCCTGGGGAAGTTTCACCAAATCATAAGTCTGATTCTTCTGCAAGGATTGCATCTCTTCTTGCATAGATTGCTGCCAGCTACTCTTCTCCTTATGGTTTTGAGCTTCTTGAAAACTTTCTGGCTCCCCCTCATCGGTAAGCAAAATATACTCAGAAGCAGGGTATTTGGTTGACGGCTTAAATTCTCTTGTTGATCTTCGTAACTGTGGACCAACAGTCTCTGGTAGAGGGGGTTGTGGCTCCCCCTGCTCAACACCCTCTGCTTCTGGATCTTCTTCTTCTAGAAATCCATCCTGCAATTCTACATCATTGACTGCATCCTGCGGTAACTCTTCTTCATCAGTGGCATGCTGTGATGGTGCAGGGTTTGGAATAATTTCTGAAACATCATCAACTTTGGGTTTGGCTGGTTTCCCAAAGTCTTCAAAGGTCTGGCCTTCTTGAAACACCACATCTCGGCTTCGAATGACCTTTTTGTGTTTTGGATCCCACAATCTGTATCCAAATTCTTCATCTCCATAGCCAATAAAGATGCATGGAGTGGCTTTGTCATCCAGCTTCTGTCTGTGCTCCTTGGATACATGTGCAAATGCTTTGCACCCAAACACTCTCAAGTGAGAGTAAGAGATCTCCCTTCCAGACCATACTTCTTCTGGAATCTGAAAATTCAGTGGAACTGATGGCGATCTGTTGATCAAATAGCAAGCAACACGAACAGCTTCTCCCCAAAATGGCCTTGGTAGCTTTGCCATTTTGAGCATACATCTGACCTTCTCCACAATGGTTCGGTTCATTCTCTCGGCTACACCATTGTATTGTGGGGTTCCAGGAACAGTCTTCTCATGCCGGATGCCGTGAGTAGCACAGTAGGCTTCAAATTCCTTTGACGTGTACTCGCCTCCATTGTCTGTTCGGAGACATTTCAGCTTCTTTCCAGTCTCCCTTTCCACCATAGCATGGAATGTCTGAAAATGCTGGAACACCTCAGCTTTGGTCTTTAAGACATAAACCCATACCTTCCGTGATGCATCATTAATGAACGTCAGAAAGTATTTTCTAACACCCAAAGACTCCACTTCAATGGGACCGCAAACATCAGAGTATGCTCTGCTCAACAACTCTGATTGTCTTCTAGATGATGAATGGAAAGCGACTCTATGATGCTTCCCAAACAAGCAGTTGTCACAAGGATTTAATTTTGCATCTTTGGCAAAGGGAATAAGTGACTTCTTTGCCAAAATCTGTAACCCTTTCTCACTCATGTGACCCAGCCTTTTGTGCCACAAATTTGGTGACGTCTCATCTTCTGCTGCGTTAAGGCTATTTGAATTCACCTCCACATGAGTCTTGTATAGTGTGCCAATTGCCTGTCCTTTGGCTACCACAAGAGATCCCTTTTTCAACTTCCATATGCCTTTGCCAAAGTAGTTCTCATAGCCTTGTCGATCTAAGGCTATCCCTGAAATAAGATTCAGGCGTAAATCGGGAACATGCCTGACATCTTTCAACACCATCGTGCACCCAACTTTGGTTTGGATATGAACATCACCAATTCCCACAATTTTTGAAAAACTGGAGTTACCCATTTTCACTGTACCAAAATCTCCAGCTTGGTACGTACTGAAGAACTCCTTCTGGGATGTAGCGTGGTAGGAAGCTGCTGTATCTACCACCCACTCGGTGTCGTTGTCTGACATGTGGAGGCATTCTTCTTCTTCAACATAGAATAATGCAATATCCTCTGAGCCAGTAACTGCAGTGGTCCCATCTTCGGTCTTTGGTTGTCTATTGCCTTGTTGTTGTTCTCCCTTCAAGGCATAGCAATACTTCTTTATGTGACCCTCCTGGCCACAATGGTAACATTTGAACTTTGGCTGGCTCGTACCTTCTCTGGGTTTCCCTCTGTCTTGAGATCTTCCTCTACTTTGTCCTCTACTTTTGCTTCTTCTCCTGCCCCTGCCTCTACCTCTGCTTTTATTTTCTGTGACGAGGGCATGGGATTGATCTCCACCAATTTCTTTCTTTCTTGCCTCTTCACTAAATAAAGCATCTGTAACCATGCTCATGGTCAGTTTCCCTTCTGGGGTAGAGTTGCTGAGGGACACCACCAATGTCTCCCAACTGTCTGGCAAAGAACTGAGCAGCAATAGGGCCTGCATCTCATCATCTAACTCCATTTTGACAGTTGTTAGTTGGTTCACCAAATTTTGAAACTCACTGGTGTGTTCAGCAACAGAGATACCGCCTTTCAACTTCAAATTCACAAGTCTTCTCATCAGGAGGGCTTTGTTCCGAGCAGTCTTCGACTGGTACATGCCTTCTAACTTTGTCCAGAGAGCATAGGCATCTGTCTCCTGGGCGACATGGTGGAAGACACTGTGATCAATCCATTGTCTGATCTAGCCAATGGTCTTTCGGTTCTTCCGCTTCCAGTCTTCGTTTTTTTCCGTTGGTGGTTTAACTCCATTAAGCTCAATGGGGTCAAACAAATCTCGGCAATACAAGACATCTTCCATTCTGGGCTTCCAAATGGCATAATTGGAAGCATTTAACTTTATCATGGAACCTGAAGTCGACGTTGATTCCTCCATCATACAAAAATGATCTTTGGCTGAAAAACAAGTTTTGCTGTGGAGTCTGGACTGGTCAAATTAGCCGGAAAAACACTTCGGATTGTCAAAAGAAAGACGGCAAATTTTTGAAAGCTTATTTGCAAAATCTGACCGTACGGATGTGTCCGAAATATTCCAAATAGTTTGAAAACACTATTGGCTCACCCAAATCGGACCTCAAATGGGTTAGGTAAAGCCAAAACAATTTTAACGGTTCAGATCGGCAGAGTCTGGTGCGCCTGAGAAGCACCAGATTATTCCTCCGGTTCTGCTGACGTCAGCCTGACGTCAGCGGCTCGGTCAACGCTCTGACTCGGCTTGGTCAACTCAGCTCCAGCTCGGGTGGCTTGGTGCGCGCGCGTGCAGCGCGTGTCTGCGCGTTAACTCACGCGTCTTCTTCCTCTGAAAGCGCGTGCGGCGCGTGGGAACGGCGTCACAGGCGCGTGTGGCGCGTGAGAGGCCTTCCGATCTCTGTTTTAACACGGTTTTCACCTTTGTGCTCGTCTCGTTGAGTACTTCAATGTGGTGTGATCAAAAGTAGATTTCTACCACTTTGATTTCTGGGTAAGTTTGTGGAACAACACTCTGTTTTTCCGAAAAACGTACAACACCGGCTCTGATACCACTTGTTAGGATCAAACACACCCAGAAAAAATTATCTCACACACACAGAGAACACAATATTTACGTGGTTCGGCCCAATGCCTACATCCACGGACAGAAATGAGAATTTTCTCTAAAATGGAGCAAAATACAAATACAGAGGAGGAGATGAAACTCACTCAACTCACAGCTCTCACTCTCCAATTTCTGATATGAAACATCCTCTCCCTCCCATCTCTATTTATACACAAAAGGAGTAGGTGGGAGAGCCTTCATTCTTGACTTGGGTAGCCTCCATTCTTGACCCTTGCTATGGTTGGTGGTTGCCAATCTTGACTTGGTTGGTTGCCTTCCCACGTTTTTCATGCATGTTGGTTGGTTGCCTTCCCACGTTTTTCATGCATGTGGGTTGGAACAACAAAAACCTCCACTCCAACTCCTATCTTCACGCCTCTGATTAAGCCCAGATTCCTGGCTCTGCTCATTAAAATATTCAATGCCTCAGCCACAACAATAAAGAGAAAAGGGGACAGTGGATCGCCCTGACGAAGCCCTCTTTCAGGACAGTATTCATTCGTTGGCGACCCATTCACTAATACTAATATTCTTGCCAACGTAACACACTCCTTAATCCACCCAAAGAACCGAGAACCGAATCCAAAATTTTGCAACATATGCAATAGAAATTCCCAATTTACGGAATCGTACGCCTTTTGGAAATCAAGTTTTAGTATGACCCCTTGCATATGGATCCTTTTCCACCAGTCAATAACTTCATAGGCTATCAGACTTTCTTCATTCTATTTGCAAGCACCTTGGTGAGAATTTTATACATCGACCCAATCAGACTATTGGTCGATAATCCAACAAGGTAACAAGGCAGTCCTTCGAAATTAGAGTAATAAAAGAGCTGGAAATACCTTTGCTAATTTTGCATGACGATAGAAGTCCTTAAAAAACTGCATAATGTCTGGCTTAAAAATCTTCCAACATTTTTGGAAACAAACCATGTTGCATCCGTCCGAACCTGGCGCTTTATTACCATCACACTCCTTGATAGCACTCCAAACTTCTACCTCTGAAAATTCATCTTCTACTGCCAAAGCCACATCATCACTCCCAATGGTGCTAAATGGGCCATGCAGCGAAGGCCTAATCTTCCAACCCTCCTTGAACAAGGTAGTGAAAAACTTGTATGTTTCCCTTTTAATTGTTGCCGGATCATTACACTGAGCACCGTTCACTACTAACAAATTTAACAAGTTCCTACTCTGCCTACTGGTAGCCACTATGTGGAAGAACTTGGTATTGCGATCACCCTTTAACGCCCATGACAATCTAGACTTCTGTAGCCACATCCATTCAAGTCGTTTGCTCCACTTCCAAACCTCATCTCTAAGCAATCTTGCTCTAGCCAGTTCAGTTTCATTAAGTTCCCTATATTTCACACACAGATCCAGCAAATGGAGTTCATCCTCAACTTCTTTAAGACTCTGCTCAACATTGCCAAACACATGAATATTTCACTCCTTCAGTTTAGCTCTGAGGGCTTTCATCTTAGAATGAATGACATATCATACCCATCCAGTGACCGCAGAGTCTTCCCATAATGTTTTTACTACTTGGAAAAATTGTGGATGTAGGGTCGAAGCATTGATGAACTTAAACGGTCTTGGCCCCCAATCCCAATCATCTTTCATTAGTACAATTGGATAATGATCGGAGACAACTCTCGGTAACCCCCACACCTTACAATTGAACATTCCCAACCATTCCAGAGATATAAGAAACCAATCAATTCTACTCCACTTATCCCCTTCTAAGGCATTACACCACGTAAACTTCCTTCCCAACATTGGCAAATCAGACACATCCATTGACTCAATGAACTAGTTAAACTCCCTCATCCCTCGACTCCTAACAAAACACCCTTTTCTTTCCCCAAGATTCCTTATTTCGTTAAAATCACCCACTAAACACCAAGGGAACACAAACAGCAGTTTTAACCTGATAATTGTGTCCCATAGACATTCAATAGAATGCAATCAAAAGCAAGGAGAATGGTTCCTGAAAGCATAACAAAATTCCTAGCACCACAACAACTACTCAAACTGAACACTAATGGGTTCCAAACACAAAGTAATCAACCTGCAAGCCCATCAAGATTAATTACCATGAAGTCCATCTCAGTCCCGGGCCAAATCGATCAGATAAACGTTTCAGAGACTCCAACTTTCTTTGTTTCCTGGAAAAAGGCAACATCCACCCCACGATCACATAATACTAACTTAATCTTCCTTCTCTTCCTATCTCTACCAAACCCCCTTATATTCCATGTCAAAATCTTTATGTAAATACTACGCAAAACACCAAAACCACCTAACTGTGGGATTCAGGGATAGTCTGACCCCCCACAGCCTACTACAAGCTCCACATCCTTCAATTCCAACTCCACACACTGAGCCAACACTTCTGATTCTTTCCCACTACAATCTAGCCCAAGACATTTCCCCAACTGTACTGTTGCATCGGCTTCATCCAATAGCCACATCTCCCTCCGATTGGTCGTTGAGGAAGATGAAAAGAGAGCCACCATAGCTGCTTGGCACCGCGCACCTCTGTGCCAACTTCTAACTGGCATTACCCCTTTATCCTTGAGACCTTCGCCCCTCTCGCCATTCTTCGAAACAAGATTGTTCCAGTTCTTGATAATTTCCTCCGCCCTCTGTATCTATTTCCTTGAATTTGTGACCTGGGACACACAGAGCCCCTGATATATTTGCTTGTATTTTCCACCAAAAGCCCACCTTCCCACTCTGGCTTTGTTCTGGACCCCTTAGTGGCTGATCATGGCCCACCACACCACCTACCACTACTTTAGCACACGGTCCACTAGCAGGCCCACCAACTTGAGCTTTCCCTAACACAGGCCCAAGCACTTGGGCTTTTCCCAACACTACCTCAACAGTAACATGAGGCCTTTCAAAATTTGCCCCACTTGCACTACGAACAAAACCAGGTGTAATTATTGCATCATCCACATTCTTTTCATGCTGTTGCACATTAATCCCAGACAGAGTTACAGCTACTCCAGCTTCTCTGCTATCAGCCACGACGTTTGGTCTTCCAAGACCACTAACACCCATTTCTGCCACCATTGATGGAGAGGACCTTACATCTTCACTGACCACTCCTACTCCCAATCCCATCCCACCCGTAACTCGTGGCAACATCCCATCTGTACATGCCACTCACGATCCCCGTGATGTCTCTCAATGGTTGCCACCATATTCAAGCACGCTACCTCATCATCCACATTAGCATCCTCTTTACAAACCATCTCCCCGTTTGGCCCCCCTACGACTGTGGGTACTGGTTCAACAGCACTGTTGCTATCACCTCGATTGTCACACCCCAAATTTGGGTATGATCAATCGTGACTCACAGGGACTAAGCCTAAGGCATTCGTAAACTTAAACATGAACTCAAAAATCACAAAGAATAAATGTGACAATAGCCCGAAAATAAATAAATCAAAAATCAATCCACTGATATGTCACAAGTATAAATGGTAAAACCAGCCATAACCAACTTTCAAAAATATATATTAAATGGCACACAAACTGCCCACAAATAAAATAATTCTAAAATAAACCCAACCACAATGTATGTACAAAACCCGACATAACAAGCTAAAATAAAATAAATGAATGTCCTAGAGGTCCATGCAATCGAGTCCCCGCTATGCCAAGAGTCCACTCTAAGTCCTTCTAACACCTGGAAATGATAAACAACTAAGTCAGCTGATAACTCAGCGAGTAGCAACATGGATAGTAAATACAGTTTTGAAAACAGAGTTCAATCCCAAAATAAGATATATACCACAGAAACTAGATTGGCATACAGTTTGATAAAGACAATCTGTTTCAAAAAGAAGGTTCCACAGTTCAAGAGTTAAAATACTCATGTCTCTCGAGAACATGATAAATGACATTTTCCACTTAAAATAAATTACAACATGAACACCAATAATTTTCTGGGTACCAATAAAAAAAACAAATAATATACCACACAATTCTCAAGGCTATAAGCCCCGTTGGATCCAATACCGATCTAAGAGTCATCCTCCGGGTGGCAACCCGGGCCTTTTCTCGAAGACGATCCGATTGAAGGTCACCTAACCTAACCTAGGTCTTTTCCTTACAATCGTTGAGCACTAGAGTCATCACGGACCAACCCGGATCTATTCCCTAGTGGCCAGAATCACCACACACAGTGGAATAATTTCTCTGGACTAAATACACATATGGTCCCAATAATCAATACACATCAGTTTCGCAAAACATGGTAGTTCATCATTATAAACGTGAGACCAAAATAAATAGTTTGTAGTATGCCAAGCTCACACATATGTTCAGAAATAATTTGATTACATAGATAATATAATAATTTATCAAACAGTTTACTCCTGAAACAACAATTAAATTTTCCAACAATTCAGGGTAGGGTAACATTTATAAAAATATGTAGCATGAAACAACTCACCTGAAAATAAAATAATATAATCCTCGAATAGAGTATGAAAGTCCAACTAGTGCCCTGAACCAAGTTTGAAAACTACACGTCACTACTAATTTAAAAATACTAAAAAATAAGAACTAAGTAACCTCAACTTAAAGCGCACTAACACGGCTCAACCCAACTCACCGTTACTCTTAAATATTATCTAAGTTCATGTTCTTCAAGGTCTAAAATCACCCAAGACATGGATTCCGATCAAAACTTAACTAAAAGTAACTTTAAGATAAAATAGAATTTAAATTAGATTTTCCAATCTATTCGCTAACTTTGAAAATTAAAAATCCACTCGACGTTGTTCAAAAAATTCTAAAACCCTCCAGATATCAACTAATATATCCTAAGTTTCAAACCCAAATGGTTTCCCTTGATTTGCTTATCAAAATAATTATCTACAATTAATTATATCAAAACAGGTTGTTTTCTGCAGCACTTTAAAGAAATTAATGGACATGAGCAATCAACACAAGGCCAAAAATATAAGAAACTGGACTCGTAACTGGTTCTAATGATGCTGATTTGATAATTTTTGGATTTATACCCAAAGAGAACAACACTCCAGAACTTACTGTTTAAAACCAGTTTTCTGAACAGATTTAAACACATCAGTTTATATGGATTTTGACTTCCAAAAATTATAAAAACATTCAGATATGCAATTCAATATGTAATTAATCTACTGTAAAAATTTTAGTTCAAAATTCATTCGTTTGATATGGTTTCTTGATTTTTAAAGTTTGTGATTCTATACAGAATTTTTGGACTAATAATTGCACCTATTCTTTATACATGAATTTAACTCCTCAGATTTCTTAACAGTATATATATATATAGAGACACAAAATACATACACCTACAACCTCTCCATCAATGAATTAAATAACAATAGAATAAGGATAAAGAACAAAGAAAGAAGAGAAGAAAACCTAAGAGGCCACAAGGCACAAAACACACAAAACTCTTCTTCTTGGCTACAACAATAATCTTGATGATTGAATCACCCCTCACCTTCCTTCATAAACCCACGGCTGGCTGCTAGGGCTACTAGTGTTGTGAACAAATAAGGGGGTAGGGTTTATGTTTATTTTATTTTATATTAGTGGTTGGATACACATAAAGCATGTGTAGGTCAAATATATAAATAAATATACAAAACATATATTATATGCAACTTAAATGGTAAGAGTCTTATTTATAATCCTTATGGTCTAGAGTTCAAGTCACACCCTCTATTCTATATTTTTTTTTAATAATAAATCTTGCCTCTTAATTAAAGACTTTCACCATAATTTTATTTTAGGTTTAAAATTAATTAAAAGACCCTCCAAATATTTAATTTGCGCTTTAGGATTCAACATCAAAATATTTGAGATTATAAAATTATTATTATTTAATTATTTACTTGATTTGTATATTCGGGTTCTCACATCGATAATGCAATAGACATTTGCAAGCTTCAGTAATCACCTTCGATACAACCATTTGTTCCTCATAGACCCGAACTGGATATGATCTATCCCTACAACTGAGATTAATGACTTGATTAATAGAGCTCATGTGCTTTGTTGCCACCTCAATCTTACCACATTCGAAAGAGGACATTCTAGCCGTTTCTTCTGCAATTTCTATAACATCACCCCAAGTCTTTCCAATGTTGATAAATGTACTACAGCTCCATAAATTCAATGGGACCCGAAAGCAACTAAGCCATACAAAACTTCTTGGCCCATACACATACCATGTTTCCATTGTGAAACAGATTCACACCACTTGTCCAATAGATTACCGAGAATGATTAATTTTTCTTCCATGTCCGCCGCCGATTGAAACGTCAACACCGCATCTCTTCCTCCACCTTGCCTGACTACTATGTCATCAGACCACTTGAGATGTACAGCACCCTCAAAATCCACAAAGCTAAACTGGCTTCTCAATTTCACAATGATACTTTCAAACAACCAGCCATTACCCTCTTCTTTTGCGCAAACCACTATAGCACCATCGTTCTTCGCTCTTATAACTTCAGCAAATGATCTTTTTCTATCTCCTCTATATGGCTGTTGTTTATGTTCCCACCCCAAGCTGGAAACACAGCCTTTGTCTTTACCTTCCCCTGGTTTGAAAATGGACACATGCTGGCTGCGAAACTGGGCCTTTCCAAACTCAGCCATCTTGACTTTAATAACACTATCATCACACCATATCCCATCAGCTTTTTGGATAGCCACCTCTGCAGCTACTGCACAATCGTACCGAACAAATCCAAACCTTGTCCTAGTAGCTTTCCTAGTCTTATCTA